AAGTTTCAGTTTTGCAGGATAAGTTCTGGAGATACACTATACAGCATGTTACCTGTAGCTAACAATACTGTACTTACAGTGTACTTACAATTTTGCCAAACTCAGTGAGTTCTAGACATTAAATATGCACAGCTTTTTACATGTCAATCATACGTCAATAAAGTGGTCTTAAAAAATAAAATAAGGGTGGCAAGATATCATTGTGAAAGAAATAAAAGAAGAAGGAAAAAAGAGCACAGCCTTCAAAGAGCACAGCCTTCAAAGAGCACAGCCTTCAAAGTCACAAAAAGAGCACAGCCTAGCAGTCAGGCATTCTTCCTCTGCCATGACCCAGTCCTTAACCTCTCAGAACAACTTACTTCACTTAGAGCCAGAATAAAAATAACCCACTTTCAAGACTGGACAGCAGAGCCAGTGCAATCATGAATAGCAGTGGTTTACGCCATAATGAGGGTAACAGTTAAAGGAGGTGACCCCAAAGCTCTGTCCTTCCTGCTACTGGCATCACTGTCTTCATAGAAGACACATACAGCCAGGACCAGCCACACAGGGCACCGTCCCACCCCACAAGGTGTGAGTGTCTACAGCAGTGAGATGGCAGCGACAGGGAAGAGCTGGAGAGGCCAGAGATCCTGGAACATGTGGGAAGATGACCTGGCTAGCAGATGAAGGGGAAGCACTTCAAGGAGAATGGGGCAGGCAAAGAGACAAGATGTCAAAATCCCCCTCACCCTCTGCACTGGTCTGTCTGGCATGGTCCCTGATGGGGAACCTGCTTCCCAGGGCACTGCCTTGATTCTCACTCTCAGCTCCAGGCTTCTGGACTCTTCCATGTCTCCTGGACATGCCAAAAAACTCCCTTTGGTTACATCCAAAGCAGGTGAATTCAAGTGAATACAGGAATATTTTGGGAACTCTGGAGTCCACATATTTTGTAGGCTGGAAGTGTGGGAACTTCCCCCCTGTATTAGGGTTCTCCAGAGAAGCAGAATCAATAGGATAAATGTAGATGCAGGATAGATACAGATAAAGATATGAGGACATTTATTACAGGAATTTTTTCATGAGATTATGGAAGCCAAGAAGTTCCACAATCTGTCATCTGCAAGCTGAAGACCCAGGAAAACTTGGTGGTGTAATTCAGTCTGAGTCCAAAGGCCTGAGAATTAAGAGACTGAGGTTTATAAGTCCTGGTCCAAGTCTGAGGCCTGGGAACCAGGAGCATTGATATCTGAGAGCAGAAGATGCACATCCCAACTCAAGCAAAGAGCAAATTCCACCTTCGTTCACCTTTTTCTTCTACAGGCAGACCTTGGAGATAATGCAGCTTCAGTTCCAGTCCATCACAATAAAGCAAACATCACAACAAATCAAGTCACACAAATTTTTTGGTTTCCCAGAGCATATAAAAGTTATGCTTACTCTATGCTACAGTCTATTATTGATAAGTGTGCAGTAGCATTACATCTAAAAAAACAATGTAAATAACTTAACTAAAAAACAATGCTGTTTGAGAAGGGATGCCATAATTTTAAATTTGTAAAACAAAATGCAGTATCTGTGAAGCACAATAAAGTGAAAGAAGATAAAAGGAAGTATGCCTGTATTTGGCCCCTCAAAAGACTGGATGACGCCCACACACCTTGGTGACGGCGATCTTCCTTATTCAGGCTACTGACTCAAATGTTGATCTGTCCTGTAGACACACTCACAGAAACATTCAAAAATAATGTTTTACCAGCTATCCAGGCATCCCTTAGACCCGGGGTCCCCAACCCCTGGGCTGCGGACTGGTATTGGTCTGTGACCTGTTAGGAACTAGGTTGCACAGCAAGAGGTGAGTAGCAGGTGAGCCAGCCAGCGAAGCTTCATCTGCCGCTCCCCATCACTCGCATTACAACCTGAAACATCTCCCCCCACCCCCTTCCATGGAAAAATTGTCTTCCACGAAACCAGGCCCTGGTGCCAAAAAGTTTGGGTACCTCTGCCTTAGACCAGTCAAGTGATACATAAAATGAACTGTTGCTCTCGCCTTGGAAGACAGGCTTCCTTTCGGAAGTTTTGTACCTGAGCATTTGCTTCAAAGGACACAGGGCCACTGCTGGCATTTCATAGCATCTGCTATTTGGTGATTAACTCATCCAAAAGAGAAAGGACTTTCAAGGAGCTGTGTGGTTTCTTTCCTGCCAAAGCAAAGGTCCCAGTTGCCAGGACATTCCACCTGGCAGAGGGCCAACCTCTTTAATGCATCTGGGGAGCAGGCAGGGAATGGGCAATTTTGTCTCAGTTTATTTTAAGACACACACCAGTTATGAAGCATTTGGATGAGCCATGAATACTTGGTTCCCTCTTCAGGTCTAAACCCAAGAAAGGTTTAGAATGAAATACATTTGGCAGCACTCTGTATGCTGCACACGGGAAGAAATGAGATATTTGTGGCTCCTAAAAATAAACTTTTCTGGTTTGTTCCTCTGAAAGTCCAATCAGATGCTGCTGGAGCCTGATAATCATGAGGCTGAGTTCAGCCTCTCTTTCCTACTCAGCATGCCCTCCTGCCTTAGGGGGATAAAGCTCAACTGACCAAGAGATGCAGATGGTGCTCTCCCTCTAAGCATATATCTTTTTGAGTTAGTGTTTTCATTTTCTTTGGATAAATACATGAAAGCAGAATTGCTGGATCATAAGATAGTTCTATTTAAAATTTTTTGAGGAATCTCCATACTGTTTTCCATAATGGCTGCACCAATTTACATTCCCACCAACAGTGCAGAAGGTTTTCTTTTTCTCCACATCCTCACCAATATTTGTTGTCTTTTGATGATAGCCACTCTGACAGGTGGGAGGTGATATCTCATTGTTGTTTTGATTTGCATTTCCCCAGTGACTAATGATGTTGAACATCCTTCCATCTACATGTTGGTCATCTGCATGTCTTCTTTGGAAAAAATGTCTTTTTAGATCTTCTATTTTTTAATCAAAAAAATTTTTTTGCTATTGAGTTGTATGAATTCTGTACGTATTTTGGATACTAGTCCCTTATCAGATATATGGTTTGCAAATATTTTCCCCCATTCAGTAAGTTGCTTTTCCATTTTGTTGATAGTTTCCTTTGCTGTGTAGAAGGTTTTTAGTATGATATGTAGTTCCATTTGTTTATTTTTGCTTTTGTTGCTTTTGTTGGTGTCAGATTAAACAAGTCATCACCAAGACCTATGTCAAGGAGCTTACTGCCTATGTTTTCTTCTGAGTTTTGTGGTTTCAGGTCTTATGTTCAAGTTTTTAATCTATTTTTTTTTTTTTTCTTGCGTTATGCGGGCCTCTCACTGTTGTGGCCTCTCCCATTTGCGGAGCACAGGCTCCGGACGCGCAGGCTCAGTGGCCATGGCTCACGGGCCCAGCCGCTCCGCGGCATGTGGGATCTTCCCGAAACGGGGCACGAACCCGCGTCCCCTGCATCGGCAGGCGGACTCTCAAGCACTGCGCCACCAGGGAAGCCCTTTTAATCTATTTTGAGTTAATTTTTGTGTATGGTGCAAGAAAGTGGTTGAATTGAGTTCTCTTGCATGTGACTGGCCTGTTTTCCCAACACCATTTATCGAAGAGTCTGTCCTTTCTTCATTGTATATATTCTTGTCTCCTTTGTGGTAAATTAATTGACCATATATATGTGGATTTATTTCTGGGCTCTCTATTCTTTTCCACTGAACCATATGTCTGTTTTTATGCTAGTGCCACACTGTTTTGGTGACTCTAGCTTTGTAGTATAGTTTCAAGTCAGAGACTGTGACACTTCCAACTTTTTTCTTCTTTCTCAAGATGGCTTTGGCTATTCAAGTTTGTGTGTGTGTGTGTGTGTGTGTGTGTGTGTGTGTGTGGTTTCATACAAATTTTAAGATTATTTGTCTTATTTCTTTAAAAATGCCAATGGAATTTTGATAAGGATTGCATTGAATCTGTAGATTGCTTTGGGTAGTATGGAAATTTTAAAAATATTGATTCTTCCAATACGTGAGCATAGAATATCTTTCCATTTATTTGTGTTTTCTTCAAGTTCTTTCATTAACATGTTTTAGTTTTCAATATACAGGTCTTTAACCTCCTTGGTTAAATTTATCCCTAGGTGAAATTTTGCTTTCTATCTTGTCTTTTTCTGAATTTAAAACGAACTGTAAAATGTGTTTATCCATTATTTCATTTTTGTCTTTTCACTCTAATGTATAGTGAAGAAAACCACAAAACCTTCTGCCTGAGACTTCATCACATTTGTTTGTCATGTGCCATATGCAATTTTAAAGATAGTCAATGAAGTTAGTTGAACTCTTATGAGTCATACTTAAGTAGTTGTGGTCAATATATTTTAAATGAATCATCATAAATTCTACAGATATATTTCTATATTGACCTTTACTTTTAAACTATATAAGCAAATAAATTTGATATTTCCTTTTATTTGTAGCCTTGTACTTAGCATTAGATATTGTCTTTAAGAATTTGTAAATGATTAGCTCTAGTATCAGTCCTATGTAAAATATTGGAAAATAAAATACTATGAAAAATTACATCCTATTATAGTGTAATGAGACAACTATAAATATATTTAAGTAAAAACTTTATCTTTTTATTTTGAAGACAAACCACTTGACTTGAAGATGATATTAAGTGTAAAATTATTGCAAATGAATTCTGTATATGTCCAAATAATATGCACAGCTCATTAGCATAAGGGTCTTTGGTAAGTTAGCTGTTCATCAATTTCTGAGTTCTTCATTATAACAAAATGGTTAAGCTGTTCAAAGATTTATCACAGCTACTTATTTTGTAACATGGGTCCTATGTAACAACGTCTAGAGTGAATATACCCAGGTGGCCCAGACCAAAACCGTTATCCATTTTCTCTGGTTATATAGTGATGCCATAATCAGTCATGTGACTGTTTGCTAGAAATCAGCATAGGCTAGACAATCATTTACAGAGCAGTCATACCCCAAGTCAGTACTCACAGCTGGAGAATATCAGCGGGCAGGAGTGCTCATCCATGGGGAAGTTGTGCAGCTGCAGCTGGCATTCTGCATTTATGGTGAGCCTGTGGGGGAGCCAAGCATCATTCTTGTGGCCAGCCAGCGACAATCCAGCAAAGGCCCTAAGCAAAGCCAGGGGCGGTCACATTACTACCATGTGGGGAGCAGGGGCCTGGGGTGGCCACATAGAGCTCACTCTTAGCAGGGGCACCATCCATTCAGTATACCATTTGGGTTTTTTTGTGTTGTGTTACTTTGTTTTACTTTTAACTATCAGAAGCAGAGGAAGTTTCCATTATTAAAATTCCTGACTGTGTCTAGAAATATAAGCCAAGTAAGAGAGGAAACAAATCAAAACAATATGTCCTTGTTTTCATATGTCCTTGTTTCAATATGTCCTTGTTTTCATATGTCCTTGTTTCTTATGTTCTTGTTTTTAATCTGTTTGACTGAATTAAATCCTTCGTCCATTTTGGAAATGGCCTAAATAAGTATAATGCCAAGTTCATCCACTTGTAGGGAAGATTTCATATTTGGCCAACTCCCCTACTTGACTAGGTGGGTCGTGGCGGCACTAAATGTATTACATCTTTTCAAAGCAGACATTCCTTGGGTCAGAGTTTCTATAAAGGATCGCAGGACTGGCCATGTCTCTATTCTGGTTTGCTGAAGCTCACCTTCATTTCAGAGTCTTTAACTCCTTTAAGAATTGATGAGGAAATAGCTATCACAAACTCCTGTTCTCCAAATGTAACTAACTCATCAGCAGAGTTCCCTGTTGTGGCTTTTATTGTTGTTGCTGTTCCCAAGCTGCCAACATTATTATTTCCATGAAACTTTAAAATTCTTTAATCTTCTGCTTATTTTGATATTAATCTGTGCCTTTATCTGTGCTACAAATACGTGTTTACCATAAGAATTACAGTTTTCTCCTTATGGCCACAAATCACTTGCAATTAAAAGCTCCTGATACTGGATATGGGAGGAGGGGGCTGTGTTCAGGCAGTGGTATTCACCGAGCCAGGAGGACACAGGGACCTGGTCAGAGGTATTGGAGAAATGACATTCCCCTGCAGAAATGACATTCCCCTGCAGCATGCTGAATCAAAATGCCTTTTAGGCTTTCAGGAGGAGATACACACAGGCAGGTGGCTCCTAGAATCTGGTGCCCAGAAGGGAAGTTTGGGGTTGGAAATGAATGTGGGAATGAATCCTCAGTGTGTATATGGCTTTTAAAGTCTTAGGAATGGATGAGCTAAGTCAGCAGGAAAGTGGAAAGTGGGTAAAGTGATGGGGAAGTCCTAAAGCAGGAGGAGCAGAATGAGGAGAGGCTGTGTCAGGAACAGGACAGGAGGTGCAAGAAGCAGCTGTAAAGCAGCAAAGCCAGTGAGACAGAGATAATCAGCACAAGGCACTCAGTCCAGTGCTCTGGAGAGGGCTCAGACGCTAGAAGAGCAGGGTCCAGATGCCACTGTCCTTGATCCCAATGCTGGGTGAGCAGAAAGACTGGCTTAGGTGCAGGGCATTCTATGGTATGTTGCAGCCATGTGTTCAGTTAGACTCAGATCAGCCTAGCGGAGAGACTATTGAGAGATACAGACCCAAGTTCAAACCCGGGTAACACTAGTTCCTGATGGAAACTTTGGGCAGGTAGTTCTATTCACAGCTTTCAAACACAGCCTCTCTTACTTTGCTGGGTTTCTGTGAGGACAGCCAGGAGGACTCATTACAAGGTAGCTGCCACTCCCATTAGGGATGCATTAGGGAACACCCTCTGTGCTCTTTTGTTCCTTGTGGTCTCAAATTTGGCTATAATTACATTTTTCAATTAGTACACCAAGACATCTTTATTTTCTTAGCTGAATGGTCCTGTGGGTTAAACATATTAAAGATAATTTCCACAGCGCACTTACAGCAGAAATGGATTCTGATGAAGGAAGGAGTTTATATTCATTGCAGATCATTTGTATGTCTTTATTTTTACATAACATGGGATTAGGAAAAACTTCCTCAAGACCCAGTAGCATGTTGAACATGAGAAGTGATAGAACTTAGCAATGAAAAATAGGGTCCCATTCCTACAATGATCTAAATTAAAGTCCCCAGTATCAGACCATCAGTAGCATCTCACCTTAAAGTGTAAAGGATTTTCCCATCATTCCAAATTCTGAGGAGCTGATTAGGGGTGGTGATCCAGTGAGCCTCTGCAGTTTTGGAATTGCGGAATATCGTATCTGGAATCCATATTAACCCCACCATGTTGCTGTTCAGAGTAAGTATTTTCATTGTGCTGTTGAACCGAAGGCGACTGTCGGTCCAGGTCTGGGCAAAAAATATATCAATTTGGTATTCCTGAAACAGAGAAAAAGGAGGGGCAAGACATTTCTATTAGTGGATTTTCTGCAGGCTTTGTTTTCTTTCTCAGGAGTATGGTTCTCCTTATGTCTGCATCCTCACCTGCCCACATCCCTTTCTGTTAGTGCCTAACACTGTGCCTGGATCAACGTGATGGACATTCAATAAAGATAACTGATATTATTTGTCAACAGTGTGATAACATACATGAAAATGTTCTGTAAATAATAAATTGTAATAAACACATAGAGTGTGGTGAGGGGCCAAGGGGTAGTAGAATACAATTCAGAACATAGATGCAGACTCTCCTATATTCCTAAGTCCAAGGTCTGGCAGGTAGCAAAATCTACCATTCTCTAATCTGTAAAATGTGTAGAATAGTAGTGCCTACCTCCTAAAGGGGTTATATGGAAGGAAATAAATAGTTAAATAAAAAGCTCTAGTGCCTGGCATAAAACAAATGATCCAGAAAGTATTAGCTCATATAATGATAATTATCATTTTCACTCAAGAGCCTTCTCAAATAACGCAATGCAAATCAGAAAGTAAAAAGCGATGACAAAAAAAAAATAGAGCTGATAGACACCCAAGCCGAATGCTGATTCTAAAAAGAGGGCTGATGGCACTCAAATTACTTCTGTAACTGGAAGCAACCCCAGTATTTACAGCATTTAGATACAGGATGGGGCTGATGTCACTGTGAGACATAGAGAAATGTCTTGAGTCTGGACCACCTCAGAGGCTCCTCCCATAATCACAGTTTAAAGGATTAGCTTTAGGTCCATAGTAAGGAGGATCTAGAGTAAGATTGTTAGTGATTTTAATATCTTTTATAGTTTCTTTACATATTAGATATTATAAATGAATTACTTTTACAGAGTTCAGTAATTTTCAACAAATCCTATATTTATCATTTTCATTGAGTTTCTGGTTTAAAGAACCTTTTTTTTTTTTTTTCTATGGTACACGGGCCTCTCACTGTCTTGGCCTCTTCCGTTGCGGAGCACAGGCTCCGGACGCGCAGGCTCAGCGGCCATGGCTCAAGGGCCCAGCCACTCCGCGGCATGTGGGATCTTCCCAGACCGGGGCACGAACCCGTGTCCCCTGCATCAGCAGGCAGACTCTCAACCACTGCGTCACCAGGGAAGCCCTAAAGAACCTTTTTGACACAGGTAATTCAACAGACCAAATCCAGCCTTTTATTAACTTATCCCCTCATTCATCATATCTTTGTTGCACTGACTATGTCAGGCCCTGAAAACCATCGAAGGCCCAGAACTGTGCCAATAGGAAAAGCCCCTGCCTTCATGGGGCTTATATTCCAGTCAGGGAAAACAGGTCTTAAACAGACAATTAAGGTGAAAAAACATGACATGTCGGATGTATTGACTGCTATTGACTATGCTTGGTAAGTTAACACAAGAAATAAATTATCTCAGAGGATAACTGGCTGGTTTGAAAGCAGTTATGAAAGTATAAACAGGGACTGTTGCCTGCCATTCCAGTAAACAAAGAATGTTACCCCAATTTCCAGTTCTACAAGGACCAAGCCATCAGCCCCTGCAGTGGTGTGCCCTGAGGGGTATTCAGGATGGAGAATAACAGGAAGTATTTTGTGCTTTGGAAACTGGCCCTAGATAGTTAAATACATATTTAAGGAATAATGTCAATGAACCTAGATTCTTATATCTTCCCATACACAGAAAAGCACCTAAATCATTAACCTGAAATATCTGTTCTTTGTAATTAACAGTGATCTTTTGATGTTTGACTACATTTTTTCCTAGCAAAATTCTATGTATCCTGGCTTCTCCCTTAACTCTTCAGAGCAGTTCTTCAGAGCTATCTGAGAGGCTGTCTCCCAGGCTTAAGTCTTCAGTAAGATCCCCAAATAATAACTTGCAACTTTTAGGTTGTGTGTTTTTCTTTAGTTGACAAAAGAGAAAAGAAAGATAAAACAAACACTGATTCTTGTAGGAATGGAAGAAGCAAATGTTTCTCACCCTATCAGTAAATCAAAGACTCAAGAAATGCTTTGACTGTTAAAAGCCTATTGAAACTCACCTTTGCAAAAATAATCAGACCCATTGCTAAAAATCTCTAAATGGGTTAAGTTGTCATGATGCAAAATCTTTGTGCAAATATGGCTCCAAGGACAAGTGACTAATATATGACTCTTCTACTGAAGACTGATGGAACCAAGGTGTCTGTACTTATTTAAGAGAAAAAGTAAAGGTGAGAGTGAAAGCAAACTGTTGGGTAGAGGCAGTGGCATTAAAAACAAAGGCATATCATGGATCTTGGAATCATGTTGACACAAGATCTATGCAACTGTTAAACTGGCCTATCAGGTAAGAGGCTGGCTAGGTTTTGAGAGAGTTCTACTGCCAAAGGAACCTCAAGTCAGGAAAAAATATCTGTGACTATTTGAGACTTAGATGTGCTCTTGCATTTCTTTCTGTGATGGGTAGATAGTGGCCTGGAAAAGCTGATTGGATCCCAACGGAGGCTTATTCTCCAATGTTAACTTTCCCGTGGCTAGAAGAGTTAATGGAAAAGGAAAACTCCCAGACAATGGAGTCAAGAGCCAAGGAGAAGAGTCCTTGGGAGCCCCACTCTAGGAGCAGAGTTAAAGCTTAATCAAAGACACTTTCTTCCCAGGGAAGAGAGCCTACTCAGGATCTGCCCACTGGGGTCTCAGAATTGTTGCAAACCAGTGGGTTGATTGTGATTATCCTGGCCTTTCTTCATCTTTGTAGCTATACTGTATATGTGGTGTGGGTTAGATAGCTTTTCTTTTCAGTTTAGAGTTTGGTGGATCAAGGAAAGCCATGTGCAAACTTGATGTGACGACGTACACATACAGGTAACCATGACGTTGGGGATGGGACTGAGTGGACCTTTGGGGTTACCTCAGCTGAAGAAAGGAGGAGTGTGTCTGTCCTGATGAGGGAGAGACAGACAAAACATTTGGCAGCTAAAGACAGATCATGGTGGTTGTTGGTACTATTCACCAAGTATTGCAGCATCCCTCCTTGTGGGCACATGATAGATTCACATGCTCCCATTTTAGGCCCTGAGAGACTGTGCCCACATGATCAGTGTCCAGATGATTCACACCAGACATGTATTGTAGGTGCAAAAGGTAGAGAGAGTGGGATGCAGGGGCGGGGGCTGCGGTCCTCACTGAGAAGGTGACTTAGAACAAGACCTCAGTGAGGTACAGGAGTGAGCTGGGCAGATAGATGCCTCCCTTGCCAGGGCCCTGAACACAAGAAGCAGGAAGGTCAAAGACACTCCTGAGAAGCAGGAATAATGCTGTGGTACAGATTCAGCCAAAATGGGGCAGGGCAGCAGACCCCTCACCTCCTTGATGGCAAGATTTTAGCCAAACAATTATGATTGCTGACTATAAAATAGAGACTATATTTGAACAGAGAATATGAGAACACACTCAAAACTTTAAATAAAATTCAGACTGTGAGAATAGCCAGTACAGCACATATAGGTACCCAAACAAATTACTTCCTTTTTCCCTTTAACACTGGGTTATTGGGTAAAGGAGTAAGGAGAGAAGGATAAAGATGTTCTCCTCAACAGGGCCAAGGCCCGCCAATCATGTGGGCAATGATAGCCAGTAAAGACTGTTCTCTGTTAAGGCCTCAAGTGTATTTTGGAAAGAATCTAAAACCAACCAGATTTTTTAAAATCCCTATATAATATCAGGGATGTTGAAACTCAGAAAACTTCAATAATTTTGCCAAAGTTACCAAAGGACTCCAAGTAAAAATTTCCAGGTGGGTCTTTTTATTCTTTAAAAATGAAAAATCAAAAAGTCTCCTGATGACCAAATAGTCCTCCTCTTTACGCCTCTGCTTTCCATCCCCATTTATGTCCCTTCACAGTACGTTTTAAAATGCAGATCTGAGGGCTTTCCTGGTGGCGCAGTGGTTGAGGGTCCGCCTGCTGACGCGGGGGACGCAGATTCGTGCCCCGGTCCGGGGGGATCCCACGTGCCGCGGAGCGGCTGCACCCGTGGGCCATGGCCACTGGGCCTGCGGGTCTGGAGCCTGTGCTCCGCAACGGGAGAGGCTGCAGCAGTGAGAGGCCTGCGTACTGCAAAAAAAATGAAATAAAAAAATTAAAAATAAATAAAATGCAGATCTGAGAAGGGTAAATCATATATTAAGCTAGGCAGCATCACCTAAAGTCACTCCCATGAGGCACAGATGCTTTTGTACCCACCAGGCACTGACTATTAAGACAGAGACAATAATGATTTTCTGCTGGGGGTAAAACGAGACCTGAGAGGTTAAGTAACTTTCATCAAGTCACACAGCTGCTAAGTACCAATTGTGCCAAACTATATAGTCAAAATCTTCTTCCCAGGAGAAAAGGGAATCCTCCTACACTGTTGGTGGGTATGTAAATTGGTGCAGCCACTGTGGAGAACAGTATGGAGATTCGTTTAAAAAATAAAAATAGAGGGCTTCTCTGGTGGCGCAGTGGTTGAGAGTCCGCCTGCTGATGCAGGGGATGTGGATTCATGCCCGGTCCAGGAAGATCCCACATGGCGTGAAGTGGCTGGGCCCGTGAGCCATAGCTGCTAAGCCTGTGCATCCAGAGCCTGTGCTCTGCAACGGGAGAGGCTGCAACAGTGAGAGGCCCGTGTACCGAAAAAAAAAAAAAATAGAACTACCATTTGATCCAGGAATCCCACTCCTGGGCATGTATCTGGAGAAAACCATAATTCAAAAAGATACATACATCCCAGTGTTCACTGCAGCACTATTTACAATAGACAAGACATGGAAATAAACATCCAGTGACAGGTGAATGGATAAAGAAGATGTGATGTATGTACACACACACACACACACACACACACACACACACACACACACACACACAGTGGAATATTACTCAGCCATAAAAAAGAATGAAATAATGCCATTTGCAGCAACATGGATGGACCTAGAAATTATCACACTAAGTGAAATAAGCCAGACAAACACAAATATCATATCATATCACTTATATGTGGACTCCAAAAAAGGATAGAAATGAACTTATTTACAAAGCAGAAGAGACTCACAGACATAGTAAACAAATTTATGGTTACCAAAGCAGGGGTTGGGGAGGGACAAATTAGGAGGTTGACGTTAACGTACACACACTACTATATATAAAATAGATAAACAACAAGGACCTACTTTATAACACAGGGAATTATACTCAATATCTTGTAATAACCTATAATGGAAGAGAATGTAAAAAAGAACATACATACATACATATATAGATATACACATATATATATGTAGCTGAATCACTTTGCTGTACATCTGAAACTAACAACATTGTCAATCAACTATATGTCAACAAAGTTTTTAAAAAAATCTGCTTCCCTGGATGTGAGTGAGAGCAGCTGTAGCAGCTGCAATCTAGTTGCCAGATATGGGAACCACCACCAGGCGGTGAAGAAAGAACCCCGGTGTGGGCACCCACTCCACTTTTGCCCTGTTTACAAACTGTGTGAGATTATTCACCTTCCTTAGCCTTTGATTCTTCCTCTCTAAAATGGGAGAGTTGGGTTAGATTAAATATAAGAACGCTTCCACCTCTAACATTTTATATTTCCACATCCCTGCCTGGAGTTAGCTTTTCAGTGCTGAAAGTAATTTTTCTGTAGGGGAACTATTTTTCTGTAAGGAAAGGGATCACACCATGATGCCCTGAGGAAGGGTCTGCAGGGTTTGGAGGGATTCTCTCTTTATTCTGAAGTCCTGCCACAAACTCTAACTCAAGAGGACAGAATGTGGATTGGTGTGCGTTTTTGCCTGGTGTGGATGTTTTATTGTGTTTACATTCGACTAAATGTTGGAGAAACACTTGCCACCCACAAAGTAATATTTTTATGTCTCTCATAAACTTTCTTTGTAACTGCATTAATCATCTTTCCTGCAGAGGAAAAAAAAATCTTTCTTACAATGTCTATCTAAAACAACATTTTACATAATTCATAAATAGCTGTGAAATTAATATGTCTGAAATACTAATAAATGCAACAGGCGAAAAATGTGCAACATCCCCAGCTTAAACCTTCGTGCTTGTGGAGAGCCTATGCTGATAATTTGTTTTAATAATTGGAGGGCTCAATGATTCCTAAATAGGTCAGCAGCATGTGGAGCATTTTAACAAAACAGAAGAAAAATTATGATTCTTCATGCTCTCTGTAATTTCTAAAACACTAGAAAGTTATTTTCTAATGCTTTCCTCCTTTCCTTTACGAAAGAAGAGGGCCATATGGAAAGATGATAGATTAATAAAGGACAGGGACTTGGAGACAGGAGGATACAGGAGACACACACTCCGGGGCACAGGCGCTCTCCCTCCATCCCAGCACGTCAGGACATCACCTGGAACGTGACAGACAAATCCTTTAGTATTGAAAGTCACTGGCAGTTTTCTTTGTAAAATGGAAATTACAGGCCCATGCCGATTAGAATTTGTTCAAATGCCTCAGTTAAAAATGTATAATATGTAATGATGATTAGAATAAAATGATTTTTATTTCTTCATTATCAGGTATGGAAGCATAACAAATATATATTTTTGGTGCTACTTCCTCAA